ATGGCTAGCTAGAGAGAAGATAAAGTAATCAGGGGCATCGTTTCATAAACTATATAAATGTATAACCAACATACTGTACACTTAAAACTAAAAATAAAATGTAAAAAAAAAATAATAAAAACCAAGTTAGTATAAAAGTTCTAAATATTTTATATAATAGTACTATTTTAATAAATGATTCTCTAAAATAAAATATAAGCTTTCTAATATGCCATTTAAAAATTTTTAATTGCACTTGAGAGTCTCTAGAATTCACCTTTTGTTTTACTTACTATAAGCTAGAAGCATTGCCACATTTCAGTTAAGAATAATCAGATTTTAATAATCCACAGATTCCTTAGCTCTTATTTCTAATTGGAAAATAATATTGGTCTTGAAACTTTGGAGCTATCCTATGTAGACCGCACCCCGCACTCTCCAAAAAAGGCAGTTTGTCACTTTCTTGCGAGAGTAAAGGTTTGCGGGGGTGGGGGGGGTATTAATTTTTCTAAAAAATTAATTTTCTAAGAACCAGAAAATTTCTGAGAATTTAAACTTCTAAAAATGAACTGTTTTTCTAAAATATTACTTTTAGATAGTCATTTATTGTGTTCCTTTCTATATTGAGCTTTCACAAAAGATTTAACTTTAAAGGGTGCCCTAAATGTAGAAAGCCAGCAGTTGCTCCCAGTATGCTGATGTGGGAAAACTTTCCCCTCCGGGTCCTCTTAAAGAGAATAGGAAGATGTGATGGACAGTGTTATGAACAATATTCCTGTCACAGGCACAATAACACGCCTCTCAGGACTGAGACTGCTGGTTCTCCTAATGCAAGACGAGGGCGTAACTCAAAGCCAGTTCATTAAAAATGACTTTCTGAAAGATCAGAGAAATGCACTGTGAGAGTGTGCAGACTTTATGAAAGTCCAGCTTGACCCAAGAGTAGAATTAAGTTATTGAGAAGTATAAAAGAATTATCCTTAGGCAGTCCTCCATGGATTTATTTCGTACGATTGAGCTTTTGATTAAAACGGGACGGTAGAAAGTTTGAGGTAGAATTCTCTAGCAGCACCTGGAGTATAGTAGGGAACATCCTACTATACTGTGCTTTGTGACCATCAGGGTGAGGTTGGTAGTTTCCAATGAACGTGAGAGACTCTAAGCTTAGGCTCCCGCCTAACGAGGCAGCCTCTCCTCTCTGACCCCCACCGACGTCTCATGATGGGTTGAGACTCAGCAGGGCAGTGGCAGTAGATTTTCCTGCTTCCGGCATAGCTTGGAAAGCCCAAACATTTCTGTTCCCCATCATAAAAAAATCCCTGTTTCATATTCACTGTCATTATTGAAACAAGACTTCCTTCCTCCTCCCAAATAGAGCATGAAATTATATCTACTTATTTGGGATAAGATACTGGGGGTTTTTTTTTTTTTATTACCAAAATAAATAATAAAGACTTAGAAACTTCCCAGAGGTCTACTCAGTTGCCAGCTTGAACTTTAGACTCAGGTTTTCTAATTCTTAGTGCAATGTTGTTTCCACTTTTTAGATCTTTTTATTGCAGTACCATACAGATTCAGAAAAGCAGATGTATTAAATGTGAGTTTATAACAAAGCCTCCAGATCAAGAAAGAACATTACCAGTTAAATTCATACAGACAGAAAGTAGAAAGGTGGTTGCCAGGGGCTGGGAGGAGGAGGGAACGGATGGCTTACTGGTTCGTGCATGCAGAGTTTCACTGTGGGAAGATGAAAAAAGTTCTAGAGGTGGATGGTTGCACAGTAGTGCGGATGTACTCAATGCCATTAAACTGTAACACTTAAAAAGGGTTAAAATGATAAATTGGTTAACAGATTTTTCTACAATAAAAGAGAGAACATTACCAGGGCCACAGACGCTGCCCTCCTGCTTCCTCTCAGCCACTACCCACCCCACCCCACCCCACCCGGGTTAACTAAGTTTTGAAACCATTTTCGTTAAAAGGAACCTTAAGGATCCTGCAGTCTGGCCACCTAGTTGTACACACAGCCAGCCAGAGGAAAAAAGGAAAAACGCACAAAGATTATTTGCCTGAAGTCACAGTTTCATTTCCCTTGATTAGTTCCCATGTCAAAGTGGATTGAATGGGAAACATATCTGTTTCTGGAACCTGTGTTAGATGAACATTTGCATTTTACCAAATAACAGCAGCTAGCAGATGTACAGTTTATGAACTTCTTAAACATGCCCAGCTGGGAGGAAATGAGAGGACACAGTCTGAATGTGGGCCAAGAGGCAGGTTGTTGCACGAGGTGCCAAGCCTACTTGGAGCACCTGCCATACTAACATTTAAACTTACCTTGAAGCTTAATGGCATGTGTTTATTCACACTTTTCTGTGTGTTTCTTCTTAAACTGTTCATTTCCTAATGGTAATATTTACTACAGATACTATATGCAGTGTATATGTAAGTTATGAATCAAAATAATGAAGCAGATATGAACCTGCCATCTAACCATCGAACATTTTAAATCACTAAAAACTTTTGTTTGCCTCTGCAATTGAAGTCACTAAAAATATTATTAACACATACTGTATGCATGCAAGATTCTGCGTTAAGTGCTATTGGACTTCCAGAACTTTTCTGCTACTTGTCCTTTCTAGCCATCTCTAGGTATGAGCCATCTCTAGGTATGAGCTGAAGGGGAATTGGCACTGGCACTAAGTCGGGGTTGAGCTTAGTTACTGGGTTAAGAAAGAGCACATTGAGCATAGAGTTTGGCTTTTATTGTAGAGCAGTTTCCTGCTCGTTCTCTCCTGGCCAACTTCAATATATTTCTCCCTTCCTAGCCAACCGAAAACTGAGCACAAATGCATGTTAGAACTGAGCACCGCTTAAGTCTTTGCCACATTTAATCAGGCAAAGGAAATGTGTTTCTTCAGCTTTGGGAAGATCAAGGTGGAGATTTTGTTCCTGGTGGTGGTTTTGCTACAGCTGCCCCCAGGTTCTTCAGTCTTCTTAAGCATAACATTGTTTGCCTTTAGCTTGCCCAAGTTTGGAGTCTGCTTCTTACGCTCATTTCTCAAAATTGAAATTTGTAAAAATCTCGTAGCACTGGTCTGGGAGTCAGTTATGTTGATGTAGTTAAGCAGCCAGTACTGTTTATTTAGAACTTATTATGTGGAAAAGTATTGATCTTTAAAGCTCCAGTGAAAAAGAGTTTTCCTGTCCTATTTAGAATGGCACCAAACCCCCGCTGGACGCAGATGTAAATCTGGAAGCAATTGCTGGGGACCTGCGCTGTGACTGCTACTCGTAAGTGTCTCAGTCTCAAGTCTGCCGAAGCTCTGAGGCCCCGTTTCCTCGTGTGTAGAGTGAGGAGAGGGTGCTGTCGGGAGCGTTCAGTTTGGCGTCCGGAGGGCGCCTAACGCAGCAGCTGGCCGTTTCTTGCTCCTTCCTTCTTGGAGAAGCGACCACCCATTTTGAGACGCTGAAGAATTCCAGGAGTGGGGGATCCTCTCATGCTGACTCGGTACTCTGCACCCAGACCACCATTGCTGCCCTTCACAAACCATCTGTCCTTCCAGAATATTCGAGCGGACATTTCATTACTAGCTGCCAAATTATCCAGGTGCTTCAGCATTTATAGAAGCTACGAGTGCCATGTTTTCTAAGCCTCAGAATTCCTTTTGCACAGCACACCAGTGTCCACACAGCCTGTAGGAAAAGCAAGAAATCAAACATCTCTGCCTTCAGCTCTTGGATGGTGGTGGTGGTTGTAGTTTTTATTTTCTTCATATATTTTTAAGGAAATTTGTTAACTTTCCCTATTTTGGTACACAGGAAGAAAATGAAACTCAGGTTTTATTAGTGAGAAGCATCTCCTCCTCTGCCTTCTTTGAAAAGCCCTGTTGCTTGTCCACAGCATACTCGTTGTTCTTGGTAGCCCCATGGGGCCCGCCCAGTGCCAGCTTTCTGAAGCTACGTCAGGCGAGGTGCTGTTTTCACTTTGAGGTCTTCCGGGGCCTCTTCAGCAGTATGAACTTCTATCTACTGGTGGAACACAGGCACTCAGTTCCAGTTCTGGTCGAAGAATTTCACATAACCCTCTCTTATCAAGATGATTTTACTGAAACCATGCTGATTATTTTTAGGGCATGTGGTCAAAATACAAAGTTTTATTTCTAGTTTTGTCACATATGGACATCTAAGACGAGTCTTAATCTTTGTTCTGCCACCGCAGCCAATGCACTTGAGAGATATGTCACACTTTGGTTAGTAAGTAAAGGACGAGTCTCAATCTTTGTTCTGCCACCACAGCCAATGCACTTGAGAGATATGTCGCACTCTGGTTAGTAA